GAAAAATAATATATTACCAGCAGTAAAAATCTTGCCGGTATAAAATAACCCATTGAGGTTGTTATGCCGTAAAACAACATAAACTAAACCAAACCTGTGTAATTATTCTGTTTGCAAATTTATGCCAGTTTCCAGAACTTTATAACTAAACATTTTCTTTGTATAACTTTATCATTATTTTCATTTCTTACACGCGGACTGTTGTCCTCATCTTTATTGCTGTTATCACGTTTCGGCCGTTGCATTCGCCGGCCTTCATCAGCTTTACATCAATCTGGGTGACCTATATGCAAAATCTCGTTTAGGCCTTATTTTTAGTACTGATTAATCATTGCTCGCTCTGTTTTCACTCAGTCCAGGTACACACTACCTTTCAATTACTGTGTCACCAAATTTACAAACTAATGCTTTAACCCACTAGAATATTGTTCTGTGGGACTTTATCATATTATTAAGACATCAAAGTATTTTTCATAAACGTCTATGATTTTACAGCACCGTTCAACTAAGTTATATGTAAATTTATAGTTATAATTTAAATAAAAAAATTGTCCAAAACAAGTATAATTAATTAGCAAAAGCCGTTTGAGAAAAAACTTCTCGCCTGTGGAACTCCCTCCCCATTTCTTCTTTTCCTGATAGCTATAATCTCCAACTATTCAAATGTAATGTCAATCGACGTCTCCAGATGCCCAGATCTATCCCCTATCCTTCTCTTCATCCTTTCCTCTATCACTCCTCTTTGCTCTAGCTCCAACTCTCTGTAACCCCTTGTGTGCTAGTGGTTTAGCGCCTTGCTTGGGGTGGAATGCTTAAAAAAAAACTATATTAAACGTAATGCAAAGCAGATTTCATTACAAAAAAGAATTAACTTATTATCATTTGCAAAGGTACCAGGATTTTACTAGTATAACGCTAAAAATATGATAAACCCAATGAAGAAATGCTCTCTACGTTAATAACACTCTATGAGACAAAATCTCTAATCATTACATGTCTAAGCATCTTATGGAAATTTATCGATATTTGTTTAGTTTGACGCGAAGTTAGATTAATGAGACACTCAGAACGATTCCAGTTTTAATTCGTCGATTTCTCCTTAGAAGATTTCGGCATAGTAAACCTTTTGGAAACACTGAGAGATTAAGGGATCCGTGAATGAAAAACTGTGGTAATATGTATGCCAGAGGTTTTGTGAATATGCCAAATGTAGAAGGGCTTCCCGTCTCTGATAGCTTGCTGCGAAGTGTGAATGTGTTTTCATACAACAAAATCACCGGAAGGTCTTTTTTTCTCTTCCATTGTATCCTTCAATAGGACCAAATTATTTTTTAAATCAGATTGCCTGGATTCCTGTAAAATGTAATAAATAGAAATCGCAAGATATATAAAAACAGAAAATAATTTTTCTTCACAATGCATTCCATTTAGATAAAATGAGTGAAACCACTATGAATCTAAATATAATTTTGAATTTTCGCAATAATTTTTAATTGGCAGTTAAAATCATACTCCATCAGGTTGAAGATAGTCATGGCTTTACACAAATTCTGTATATTTTATTATGCATGAACTGCAATGGCCTCTTGGGAAATATAACAGTGATTTCTCATTTCATTTTCCACTGTTTAACATTTAGCTTTGTTCTTCTCATACACTGACAGCCTTATCAAAACTAAAGATCCCACTCTGTCTTGTTATAGACAGAAGATATGAATTCATTTTTCCCCAAGGGCATTAACTTCAAGACAGCGCAAAAGCATCACCCACCATTAGAAATCGGCCCAGCGATTTCATTTTTCGAGCTGATAGTCATCACACCACCTGCACATTCTTTTTTTATATCCAAAACTGACATTTTTAAGACTGTCGTGGTTGGGGAAGCATTCTCTCGAGCTGCTCTATAAAATAACAGTTCTGGAGAAGAAGCTGGCTGAGTGGAACTTATTGCTTGAGGAAAAACTACGCTAGGAATGAGAATGATTTGCCACCGTGTACGCAGTATAGTGAGTCTAAGCTGTGAAGGTCTGAACTGGCGGTACAAAGGAATGCTGCTCGTTTGAACATTGCCCATGGTAATAGCAATAGAGTACTTGCAGGTTATTTTTCCTGTATGGAGCATGAGGATAGACGAGTGCTTCAACCCTGACTGATATTCCTTTCTGCAAGCTTATTTAGAATCCATTTTCCTATCAGCTGCTTTTTTTCTAAGGCTTGTAAACGACGTACTTGGCAAATTGGTCGATTGTGCAAGCCAGAAAGATATTTCTAAGACTTCCGTAACAATGCCTCCAAGATGGCGCTGAAACCTTACATTAAACTTATATGAGGAGTTTGAAATTTTCCTGTTGAGTGAAGTTATTATTATCATTATTATTTAACCATCAGAAAATTAAATTGTCGAGATAGCAAATGTTCGCTAAATATTTATTTTTTAAATTCAAACGATAATGATCAGCATCTATATCTATTCAAATTTTAATACAAGTAATAACTCAAGCCATCATCTCATTAAAAAGACGACATCACTAGATTACGGTCAGAAATCACGCTGAAAACACCGATTTACGTACGATCACTGAAGTAGAATATAGCCCGGTCAGTACTTAGATGGGGGAAAACAGCGGCCACAATAAGTAACCTCCCACAATCCCAAATATGTTTCGGCTTTAAATACCCTACAAAGGGTTGATAAGCTGTAAAAACAATCTAGAGTCATTATCATTTTTATCAATACAAATGCTGCACACTTGTATTAGTAGAAATTGCTGTTGCGTTAAATTATCTAACAATACTTTAATAGGGTTTTAATTTTTACTTCCTGCCCTGTCGGCTGTGACTACAGAATACGCCGATTGCACCTCTGCAGAGGGGTAAGGCCCCCTCTCACCAATGAGGCGTCCTGGGTATTACTATAAACTACATCTGACAGGAAGACCCTCTGGTCATGGGGATTTAAGAAGCATGAAACCAGCTCTTAATTGCTGGTGTTCCCGGGTCCACCCTGACCAGGGGTGGTAGCACCTATTACGATACCAAATATGGGTAAATAGTTACCCTCCTCCGCCCACAAAAAAGGGATCAAAACACTATGAATGTGTACAAATGGGTTTTAATACCAGCAATACATTTTTGGAAGAAAAAATTACCAGCAATACGTTATTACCAGCGGTACATTTTTGATAAGGAAAAAAAATTACCAGCAATACGTTATTACCAGCAGTACGTTTTTGATAAAGAAAAAAATTTACCAGAAAAAAACATTTTTGAAAAAACATATTTCCAGCAATAAAAATCTTGTCGGTATTAACACATTTAGGTTGATAGGCTGTAAAACAAAACAAGCCAGACTAAACCAATCAAAACCTTTTTACTCCTTTACAAAGTTACGACAGCATTGATTTTGATTACATATGCCAGATTAAAGCAAGCTTAGAAAATACATGTCAACATCTTTGGGAAATAACGGTTAACAATATTGTCATAGTTCCTTACTCTAGCAGCGGGTTCGATCCTCACTGAGTGCCTTATTGCTCTGAATTTGCGTCAAACTAAACACAGATAAGTATATGTTTATTGGTTGCTTAGATATGCAGTAATATTTAATGAATTTGTCTCATAGAGTATTATTAACGTAGAGAGCAACTTCTTCATTGGGTTCACCATATTTTTAGCGTTTTACTAGTGAAATCCTGGTACCATTGCAAATGATAATAAGCTAATTCTTTTTCCTAATGGAATCTGCTTTACATTACGTTTAATATAGATTTCTTCTCAAAAGGCTTTTTTACTAATTTAAATATACTTGTCTTGAAGAACATTTTTAAAAAAAAAATTATAACTGTAAATTTACATATACCTTTGCTTCGGGCCTTGTAAGCGGTATTTTCTAGAAAGAGCGAAAAATACTAAAAAAGCGGACAATAATCACAGGATAACATTAAAAAAAAATACAATCTCTTATTGCTGTTAAGTGGTTTCTTTTATTGACTTTTCGTCAAATTGAATGCGACAGTGACGCACTTTTTGTGTCTCGCACCATCTCGTTCAAGCACATCTTAATATTCACGCTGCATATCTATTTTCTCAACTCACCACTGAATAAATTGAAAGCGTTAAGAATTCCAAAACCGATTTGAAATAATTTGGGCTTCAACATAGTGATTATAGATAAAAGAAAAAAATTATATTTCTGTTATATATTGCTCGTCCTTTCAGAATTTATTTGCGAGAGCTTTAAAATAATCTCTCGTATACATGCTCTAGAAATAATGTGTGTGTAATGGGCAGATTACACTGTACAAATCATTGATCGCCATCCAATATTTCCTCTCTATTTCAGGCTATAAACGCCGTAAAAATAACAAAAATAATGACGGGTTATGCCATAAAGCCTTGCCGCATTTTGTACGTCATTTAGCTGATAAAAAAAAATATCTTGGGTATCTTTGTATATTTACTAAGCTGAACATAGCCCGGAACAAGGTCCAAATCGAAATGTGAGATAGGAAGAGTGTTGTGCCAATCATTTTCATCACTTTTTGGGGGCACCTCGAGGCGGTGTAATGGTTAGCAAGATTGTCTCGTTAGAACATTTACGACCGAATAGTGAAGTAGATCCTCACTGAGTGCCCCCTACTTTCAGCCTTGTGCCACATCTAAGCTACGCTTGAAAAATCACTAGAAACGTTTGCTTTCCACAGAAGAATGCTGAGAGTACCATAGACTGAAAATGTGAAGAACGACAAAGTTCTAGAGAAAATGAATACAAAACGAATTAAAATAAAAAAGACGCAGATATCATTTCTAGGGAGCATAATAAGGAAACAGGGCATAGAGAATCTGACACTCACAAGGCGTATTAAAGGTAAGAAGAACAGGGGAAATCATTGGATAACTTACCTAATGAGCTTTTGTAAATGGTTGGCAGAACAGGAATTAGGAGAGATATCAAATACTCAAAATGAGAGCTAAAAGAACGGTCCTTTATGCCTACATGAGGTTAAAACACCGGTTCCCGTAAAGTCACCGAAGTTAAGCAACGTCGAGCCTGGTCAGTGCCTAGATGACTGACCGCTTGGGAATACTAAGTACTGTAAGTTTGTATATGAAAGTGGCGTGATGGATAATGGCTCGGAATTGGTAATCGAAGAGCCGACTTCCGATGGGTTTGTTATATACATTCACTTGCAAATACCATTGGGAATGGGAGGAGTCCACCCCTTTTCCTTCCAGCTATGGGTTAATCAGTAAGACTTGTGTGAATAAATCATTATTATCCCCACCAAAATACTTACAATCTAAAAATAATATTTTTTTCTGACTTTAAATAACCTGCAATGGGTTAATGGCCGCAGAAAAGGAATCAATCAATAAAACAAAAGACCGGAAGTTGTGAAAAACCGTTATTGTCTACATGTTGAAAGAACACGGTGAATAAAAGAAGATAGAAGATGCTATCGATATATCTTAGGGATCTGGGTTAAATGTAGTACAGAGTTTTACTGTTGCGAGCAATTCCTTTTTTTTTCGATGTATAAGGCACATTTCCGAAATAGGCGGCAAATAATAAGTGTAGAAATAAGTAATATTTTTGCATGTGTGCTTACCTACGTAGAATTAATTGTACGCTGTCTATGATCACAAGCATAAAAGAATAATGCATTTTATGAAAGAATGGAAGTTTTTTGGGGTTTTTTTTTATCAAAGGTCAAGAGAAGTAATAGCAAAGAGTCTGTAAATTTCACCAGAAAAAAAAAACCAATAAACTGATATCTGATCCTTTAAACTAGATTCTATGATTGTCTTTCTTCGAGTAAATTATGTTATTACCGCCCAGCGGAATCCAGAAAATGGAACCAACGAAATAATTTTAAATTCTGACGGATAAAAATTCAGTGCTGTGGGGCTATTGTATTATCACAATATTTATTAAAGTGTTATTGCTTTGTTGGTAATGTTTGACTAATGGAATACTGTTGTCACTTTTGAGGTTATCGAACAGTGTCGAGTCTCTCGAAAGAAACATTCTAGAGACTAGAAACTTCTACGGGTGTGGGTAGAGACGAGAAAAAAGGGGGACACCAAGGAAAGAAGAAAAAAAAACGCATATTGTGAAACTTTATAACCCCTTTGGTAGAAGAAAGCAAACATGATGTAGAGAAACACATCTGTTTGTTCTTCATGTAAGTGAGAGAAAAAAAGAGGGAAACATAGAGACATACAGAGTGATAGATAGATAGATAGATAGATAGATAGATAGATAGATAGATAGATAGATAGATAGATAATGAAGAAGCGGAGATAGATAGATAGATAGATAGATAGATAGATAGATAGATAGATAGATAGATAGATAGATAGATGCATATTGAGACATAAAAAGAGAGAGAGAGGAACAGAAAAAGAGAAAGAGAAACACACACATAGATAGAAAGATGTATATAGAGAGACGCAAATTGAGAAATAGCGACATAAATAGACATACAGAGAGAGAGAGAGAGAGAGAGAGAGATAAGTGCGCAGATAGATAGGGAGATGCATAGAGAGAGATACGTATGTTGAGATACAGAAAGCGACATTAATAGGCGTATATATAGAGAGAATGAGAAACAGAGAGATACACACCGAGAAAGAGAGAGAGAGAAAGAGAGAGAGAGAAAGAGAGAGAGAGAGAGACGGGGGGTAGTAGTACAGACGAACATAAAATGATACTGTAGAAAACAGTTACAAGATTCAAGAACAAAATAAAAAGAATAACACCAACTTATCTTTTATTTGTCAGTCTTAATTTAGCTTCCCATCGAAGAGGCCAATACGAGAAAAGATCTTCAATCATTATTATTCCATGGAAAAAAAAGAAGACTTTTGGGTGTCACGGTTCCTCAATTTAAGATAATGAAAATATTCATTAGTCAGATTCATATAGTTAATTTCGCGCCTGCGCGTTGTTTGTTTTTGATTTTGTCGACTGCGCAGTCGAGTTACTTGGCCACCATCTCTGACAAAAATAACATCACGAAGCAATTCACTCCGCCAGAAATTTGGAAACGGCATGCTTGGCATTCGCGCCGAAAGCTACAATACGAAAATTTCAGAGTGTCTGGGTGTCAAACTGATGAGAGTGCAGAGGATACGGAAAGAGTTGGATGACGTAAATGGTGATTACGAAGGTACAACACCCCGGAAAAATCTTTCTGATAAGAAAAGAACTCCCGAGTCTGTTGATGAGAAACTCAGACACAACACGGAGGCCTCTATCAAGTGTCTTGAGGAGGTAGTGATGTTCTGGGTCAAGTGGGTGGCTGCTAAAAGACGCTATGTATGGCAACAGAAGTCTGCAGCATGAGACCCCAGTAATGGCTGTAAAATAATTACTTCGACCACATCACTCCTTACATCTGACCACCTAACTCACCAGACTGCAATACCATTGATTATTATGCACGGGGCGCCGTTGATCGAAAGACCAAGAAAACTCCATATAACTCCTAAGATGAACTGGTCAAGGATTATGGCAGCATTCACCAACTTGAACACGGAAACCCTTCAGAAGAGATGCAGGAGGTTCCGAAGTCGTCTGGAGGCCGTAGATGGAGGCAATGGCGATTTGATTTCAAGATAGTAATTTGTCCATTGCACCACACACACACACACACACACACACACACACACACACATATATATATATACATATGTATGTGTGTGTGTGTGTGCGCGCGCGTGTGTGTATTTCGGCAGCAATCCTTCTTTCATGCACATTTCATTGAATACGACAGACAAGGTGCATTGATTTAGATTTTTATACAATTTCTCATGCGACCTAATATTTTTTTTCTTTTCAGATGAGAAATTATTTAAAAACTGTCCAAATGTTCTTTTTATCCGAGCGCTTTCGGCTATACACTTAGCCATTTTCAAGGATCAAATATTTTAACTGTTAAATAAGAAATAGTTTGTTGCATGTATGTATTTATATAATGTTTTCATTTTTCAAAAAACAGTCAAGATAGTGTGTCCATGTTCATAGTTGATATTATTAAGTGTAATCTTTTTTTTGCTTTTATTAATAAGGCTTCCATTATTTTTAGCCTTTCTTTTGCATGTAGATGATGCTATTATATTACTGTTGTCAACAAGTATGTTACGAATAGTGTCCGGTAGGTCCCCATGAATATTTAAATGAGATGCAATTGAGCTATGGTCAGAAAGATGTAGAGTGAGTCTGCATGTCAAACATGTTGTAGTGTGGCTTATATAATTATTTACGAATTTTGATTGATCAGGAATACAATTCCTGAATGGGCATTTAAATTCGTAAATAATATTTGCCCTATTTAATATATATATATATATATATATATATATATATATATATATATATATATATATATATATATATATATATATATATATATATATATAATATTTAATATATATATATATGTGTGTGTGTGTGTGTGTGTGTGTGTGTGTGTGTGTGTGTGTGTGTGTGTGCCTGTGTGTCTGTGTGATTGTGTTTATTTATCACGGTGAAATAAAGTCTTCAGTAATTATCAGGGAACAATAATTAAAATTTCACGGTTAATTAAAGTTTATAACACTTATCGGGGGAGCACTCAAAACTTCGTGATTCCTCACACGTCATGATCTAGGTAGGGATCATTTTTGCCTGAATCCTTGTGGTGAACATCCCCGTAGGAGCAAACGAGCCAGAGTGGCTTGCATCTGGTGTACAGGAAAATAAGGGTCTTACCTTCACGTGCGGCACGTGACATCAGCAAGTTTGTTCCGTGAAAATGGCATTACCGTCCCGTCCAGCCATTCTAGCAGTGATGAGGGTTTTTTGTACAGCTTGGCATTCTTCCACCAATAGCAAGTCGTGTGCTGATTGGTCGAACTGGAGGAGGCAATTTGCCTGTGTAACCGAGAATAAAAGCCAAGAACGCTGATTGGTTGGGGAACCGCGGTGTTAGCCTGATAAAAGAGGGCTGGAGCAGTGAAAGGAAGGAACGAACGACGGCTATACACAGTGACGTGTTTAGAAAGCGAGGACTGCGAAGTGAACCAGCGATATTTTGATTTGTACAAGTGACGTTGCGGCAATACAGACTTATTTAAACTACATGCTATTTCGGCGTTTTCTCTAATCATGTCGGACAGAAGTTTCGATATTAGGCTGATACCTGATTTCAGTGGAGCTGCTACCGATTGTAGAATGGATTGAAAATGTGGAGTTGGTTTGTGAACTTTGCGAGATGAAAAAAGTCGAGCGGGTATTGCCACTGCGCTTGCGAGCCAGGGCTCTCTCAGTATATTGGCAGCTGACAAAAGAGCAGAGGTCAGATCCAGAGCAGATTAAGCAGGCCCTTATAACTGCATATGCGGTGGATTCATTCACTGCGTATGATCAATTTGTGTCACGACGATTTCGGCCAGGGGAAACGGTAGACGAATTTTTAGCAGAGTTGAAACGGCTAGATTTGTTGGTTGGCGGCCAACTGCCTGAACGATGGATGACGTGTGCCTTCGTTTCTGGACTGCCGCAACAAGTCAAACAACTTCTCTGCGCATCATCCAGAATGGACACTATGACGTTGGACCAGATCCTGACTCGCGCTCGGGCCGTTATGACCAATAGCAAAGAGCCGGAAGAGTCAGTTGCCGCAGCAGATCAACAGACGAATACAGCAGATCAACAGACGGGTGGTATTGTGTGCTTTAAGTGTTTTGGTCCCAACCACCTAGCAAAGGATTGCAGGAAAGGCTACTCGGAGAAGAAAGCTACCCAGACCTGAAGATCCCGCCGCGAGATACGGTGTTTTCGGTGCAACAACGTTGGGCACATTTCCTCAGAGTGCCAGGGAAACGGATCCGGGTGAACAGACGTCAGCGCTGGTCTTTTCTCCAAGCGACTAAGAAACACGGCGCTACCTATCATTGAGGTGGCCGTAGACGGAAAGAAATGCACGGCCCTGGTTGATTCTGGTTGCTCACGGACGTTGGTGAGCAAATGCGCATATCGCAATTTGCGACCAATGAAGACGCAAGTCCTAACTGCCGACGGTACTAAAATGCCGTGGACAGGGCAATATTGCGTTGGATGTTAGTCGCGCTCAACACATGTACATTGATGCCATAATTGTGGACAGACCACTACTTGGCTTTGATCTTCTTCTTGGGATTGATACAATTAAAGAATTAGGAGAAGTGCACATCAATTCATCAGAAGTTCAATTTTCTGAAGAAAGTAAGTCCCAATGTGCTGCTATTTCCATCATTGAACCTGACTTTCGTGTAGAGTTCGACCGTCATCAAAGTATGGATAGCCTCATGGAAGTGGACCAATTGACAACCGCCTATAACCCTGAAGAATGGAGTGGCAGAATATTCAGTACCTGACTATGCACGGGACGAATATGAAAGGGAACTTCAGCCATGGCTGGATAATAGATGGCTGCGACCATACCCCGCAGACGAACTTGGTCCACCTAGGTGTCTAATCCCATTAATGGCAGTGATACAAGAGAGCAAGCAGAAGATCCGTCCAGTACTGGATTACCGCGAGTTGAATGGTTTTGTAGAACCATATACTGCTAACTCAGAGGTTTGGGCACATAAGTTGCGAGAATGGCGACGACTGGGAGCCGATGTATCTTCGTTGGACTTGCGGAGGTCGTATCTGCAGATACTTGTGGAGAAGGCGCTGTGGCCCTATCAAACTGTCATAGTGAAGGGATAAAGAAACTGCCTCACCCGAATGGGTTTCGGTTTAAATGAGGCACCTCTTATTATGAAAGCCATAATTGACGCAGTATTATCTCAAGACAAAACCAGTGCGAATTCCACATCGGCATATGTTGACGACATTTATGTCAACGAGAGTCTAAATTATTGTGGCACGTGTGAGATAGCCCCTGTTCAAGTACGGACTAGTGTGCAAGGAACCGATGAGATTAGAAGACGGAGCTAAGGTGTTGGGCTTACAGGTTTGGAGTGACAATGGTACTCTCCGATGGAAGCAAGGTGGAGATATCCCCGATATCCCCATGAGGATAACTCGCCGGCGCGTATTCTCGTTATGTGGAAAACTTGTGGGCCACTTTCCCGTTTGCAACTGGCTACGTGTGTCCACTGCGTTTGTGAAATGACAATCAAGCGCTCTAACCACAGGATGGGATGACGAAGTTGAGAATGCCTCTATTAATTGCATGTTAGCCGATATCATAGCCAGAATACGCGCGGCCGAACCAGTAGGAGGAGACTGGTGTGTGAGTGGCCGTGAAATGAACGTGTGGGTGGATGCGAATTCCGTAGCCACAGGTGTCGTATTAGAGGTAGATGGAAACTTTATTGAGGATGCGTCGTGGCTGAACCCGGCTGGAGATGCTAAGCATATCAATTTGGCCGAGCCAGACGCAACAATAAAGGATGTCAATTTGGCTCTTCAATGGTAGGTGTTGACAGTACATCTTTTTACTGATTCAGCATGTGTTCATCAATGGATTTCGAACACCTTAACTGGCAAAGCTCGAATAAATACGAAGGCGTCTGGGAAAATTTTAGTGCGGAGATCTTTGAACACACTTCGCGAGCTTGTAGGTGAATATGACTTGATGGTGGATATAATACTGGTCAAATCCAACATGAATCTGGCTGACCAGCTGACCAGGGTGCCAAAGAGGTGGTTAAACCTACACAAAGA